CAGGAGGAGTTCCAGTGCTTTGCTGCTGCTTTGCCCCATCTCGTGTCCATGCTTGTTGCCCCTGAGGGAGACCCGGATGCACCAGACATCCCGACCCCACGCTCTTACGCTGAGGCGATGGCGGGTCCCTACTCCTCTCAGTGGCAGACAGCCATGGACGCAGAGATGGCTTCCTGGAAGTCCACAGGCACCTACGTCGACGACGTTCCCCCTCCTGGGGCGAACATCGTCAGTGGCATGTGGATTTTCAGGGTGAAGCGGCCGCCGGGTTCTCCTCCTGTCTTCAAGGCACGCTACGTGGCTCGAGGCTTCAGTCAGCGAGAGGGAGTCGACTTCTTCCAGACCTTCTCCCCCACCCCGAAGATGACCACTCTTCGGGTGCTGCTGCACATAGCCGCTCACCGCGACTACGAGCTTCACTCACTTGACTTCAGCACTGCTTTCTTGCAGGGCAGCCTGCACGAGGAGATCTGGTTGCGCCGCCCTCCTGGCTTCACTGGCTCGGTTCCTCCTGGCACCCAGTGGAGGCTTCAGCGGCCGGTCTACGGTCTCCGCCAGGCGCCACGTGAGTGGCACGACACACTGAGGACGACGCTTGCGGCTCTTGGGTTCGCTCCCTCTACTGCTGACCCGTCGCTGTTTCTACGCACCGACACCTCGCTGCCGCCGTTCTACATCCTCGTGTACGTTGACGACTTGGTCTTTGCCACAGCTGACACAGCGGCACTCGCCCACGTGAAGTCGGAGCTGCAGAGGAGACACACGTGCACAGACCTGGGTGAGCTGACAAGCTATCTTGGCTTGCGGATCACCCGGGACAGAGCACGGCGCACCATCACCTTGACTCAGTCACACATGGTGCAGCAGGTTCTCCAGCGCTTCCGCTTCACGTACTCCTCGCCTCAGTCCACTCCTCTGCCTACCGGTCACTCGCTCTCAGCTCTGCCTTCGGATGAGTCCGTAGAGCCGAGTGGCCCGTATCCAGAGCTTGTGGGCTGCCTCATGTACCTGATGACCTGCACTCGACCTGACCTTGCATACCCCCTTAGCATCTTAGCACGCTATGTCGCTCCTGGCCGTCACAGGAAGGAGCACATGGATGCTGCTAAGAGGGTGTTGCGCTACTTGTGCAGTACGTCGGGCATGGGGCTTGTGCTTGGAGGGCGGGACCGGGTTGTTCTCACAGGGCACTCAGATGCTTCTTGGGCAGACGACCAGGCTACTCAGCGGTCGTCACAGGGTTACACCTTCAGCCTTGGCTCTGGCTCAGTTTCTTGGCGTTCTACTCGTTCGTCTTCTGTTCTCAGCTCCAGTTGTGAGGCTGAGATCTACGCCACAGCCATGGCTGCTCAGGAGCTGCGCTGGCTGACCTACCTGCTGACCGACCTCGGAGAGCGGCCTCATTCTCCTCCAGTGCTGTACGTCGACAACAAGGCTGCCATTGCCTTGTGTGAGGAGCACAGACTGGAGCACAGAACGAAGCACATTGCTCTGCGGTACTTCCTTGCTCGAGAGCTGCAGCAGCGCGGTCAGCTTCGTCTGCGTTACGTGGCCACTGAGGCCAACACTGCTGATGTGTTCACCAAGGCACTCCAGCCTTGTGACCATCAGCGCTTCTGTACTCTGTTAGGCCTTGTGCCTACTGGCCCTCACTTGCTCACTTCTTGACTTTGCCTGTACTGTGATCGCTATATATTTATATACCTGCATGTTTACTCTTGCTAGGTTGTGATCATTGTACGTCTTGCTCTATTATAAACCTGCATGTGAACTGGTCTTGTGACCGCTTGTTTGTGCTCGGAATTTGTGTGGAATCCTCGAGATCCACCCTGAGCTTGTTTGCCTTACTTTGCCTTGACTGGTCTTGTGACCCCTAGGTCTCCCCCACTTTGCCTATGGGGGTGTGTCAAACATTATATATGTTTGGTTTGTTAGGCTACAGTGGGTTAGCCAGTATGGGGTACACAATTCTAGGGTTTGCTATTTGTACTGATTTCTCTGTTAGTTCAACCATTCCAGCCTCGTAATCTTGACAGGGTCTTCGTCTTCCTTCCATCCGATAGGTACGTAGCGTTGGTTGTCGTGTGGCGGGCTTTCCCGCAGTGTGATTGGCTGATTCCAATCCTGCTCGTCTTCGTCGTACAGGTAATAGTGGTATTCCGTGAGGGGATTATTCCACCCTTCTTCTGGTTGCGGCAGTACTCCCTGGAGTTCATCTTCTTCGTCTGGCTCAGCGGTGCGGCGGCGTCGTGTCGCCATGTTTGCGATTACGTTTCTGGGAGCTCCTCCTTGAGGTCCTTGTGTCTGCTGTGGTTGTTGTTGTGCAGGAGTACGGGAAGCTGGTTGTTGGGGATGAGAATGACGAGCGCCTGGATCGGGATTTGCATCGATCCGTTGAATGCCCGAAGGCTTTGCATATTTTGCAGTAATGGCGCCTTGGTTGTCGTCGCTCTTCACGGTTGTCTGTGTAGAAGGCGAGTCGCTCTCGCCGCGGCGCGGAACTCGTTCTGCTCGAGTCCATGTCCTGCTGCTCAGTCAGCAGGGCGGCGCATAGCGCGGCTTCGGAGAGCTGTCCTCGTTGTCGGAGTAGCGCCTTGCAGGGCTTTGACGAATATCTCCTCCGAGATCGAACTTCCGTTTTTTATGATTTGATCACGGATGTTCCGACAACGGTTGATGTAGCTGTTTGCTTTCTCCCCGTGCCCCATCTTCGTCTCCATGAGTTGTTGCAGGAGACGGCTTGCAGTGACGGAATCCTTCGGCTGATATACCTTCACGAGGAGCGGCGCTCTCTTTGTAGGAGCGGATGCCGAGCTGTTCTGCCGGCGACATGTTGCGCAGCAGGACGCTATACGCCATAAGTGACTCACTGTAGTATTGAGCCCGGGCGTCTTCGGTGTCTTCCACCGGTTTAGGATAGGAGCCGTCGAAGTAGTGGTAGATCTGCGCTGTCTGTAGGAGGAGCTCAAGCTCAAAACTCCATGTATAAAAATCCTTGCCGTCAAACGCGGCAGTAGTCTTGATCTTTGACACACTGAGAAAGCGTGCTTGCGCAGAGTTGATGGTTTCGTCGCTTGGACGAGGGGCAGTTGTTGCAGATTTGTCTGAATCGAGGGAGAAGCCGTGCGCGGCGGTATCGCGGCTTTTCGCAGCCGGTTGTCCAGGTTGAACTGGTTGGGAAGTGGTTCCCGCATCGCCTTTGCGCAGATCTTGGAGTTCTTTCTCCATTGTTGACAGTCGAGCGAATAACTGCTCGAGCGCGGCAGTGCCGATCGTAGTTGTCGCCTCATTTGTCGCAGCCGGGTTGGTTTGTCCTTCGGCCGTTATATTAGTTTGGCCTCCGGATCCTCCGGCCATCTTGGTCTTGGATCGTGTGCCGCTCGCCAGATCTTGGTTTGGCGAATTTTACGGAAGTGACGTTGCGAAGAATCCCTGAGCAGCTCTCATACCATGTTACAATCTGAAGTGTGACTTAGCGAAGAGGATCGTTCAGGGTTGATCGCAGGTAGTGTCGCAGCGGAAGTAGTGAACTCAGGTCAGAGTGAATGTAAATGACTGAGATTGATAATAGCATGCATACATAGGGTTTATATAGAAATACAAAGGAATGCGAAACGACCTAGACTAGCCATGTACTCTACGGGGTATATTCCCTTATTGCAGCGTGATTCAAAACCGTGCGGCGCGGGAATCAGTTTCAAACCTGTTCCCGCTCTTTTCACTTCAAATGTTTCTGCCTGCATCGGTCTTGGTCAGACGGTTGCTGTGTCGCTTCGACTCTTCTGACTCCTCGACTTCGTACTCGGTAGAGTCGGCTCCTGCAGCATACAGGAATGCCTTCTCATAAAACTTCATATCGTAACAGAAACCATGTCAGAAACTACAGGCAGGAATGAATGCATTGCAAGAAACATGGGTAGAAGTACTAACCCTAACTTTGGATTGTACCCCATATGGGCTACCCCACTACAGCCTACACACGTCTAACACATATATACTTTGACAGTTCACCCGTTACTGCTAATGGGGCTTCGCAAACTTTGAGCGCACTGCTTTCACCAAACCATGTACCACTGGCCTGGCCACGTCGGCCTACGCTTCGGGACTAGCCCGAACCTCGATGTCAACCTAGCACTAGCTAGCTCACACGCACCGCGCAACTGTTGCATGTTTCGTGTATAAGTATTCGGTCATTCCTTCGCTCATACTTTGTACTCGTTTGACACCTAGTGCAATCTTCCATTATCTCGTTCCATCGCACCCATAACAAATGCTAGTGAAATTATCAATTTTGCTTCTATGGTGCAACTAGTGAAATTCTCGATTTTGCTTCTATGGTGCAATTCTCGCTCGGTCGCTCAAATTGCACTCATTAGTACCCCAACCATCTGAAACAGTTAGGCGTACCCTATGTCCCCGTCTCGGCAACATACAGAACCCTGCCTTCCTGTCGACGTCTTCATTTGCGCTGTGCGGTAGTTTGGGGAGGTAGAACTGCAGCCATGGATTCGTCGCCCTCCTCTTTTTTGGATCGTCTTACGCGGAATACACCCGCCGTAAGCATCGTTCCCCTTCCCTCCAATCTATCACTCTGTGCCCTCTCGCTCGCTCCCCCGCTGCCCTCTCGCTTCCTCTTCGCCCTCGCGGCACTCGCGCGGCCTCGTCGCGCGGAGCTGCCGTGCAACACGGCGTGGCGCGATGCTTCGCATGCTCGCTCGTGCCAGTGACGCCCTTAGCCACGAGCCTAGTGCTTTCGCGTGCCTCGTGTGCAATTGCGGCGCGCGATGCGAGCGCCGCGCGGGGATTATCGCGGTCATCCGCACCGGCTCGTCCCCATTCTCTCTCCACTCTCCTCCCTCCCCTGTTCCGCGCTTCGCCGTCCCGCCCCGCGCCTTGTGTGCATCCTCTCCCCGCGCCTCCCATCCGCCGTTTTCCCGTTTCCCGTCGTCCCGCTTCCCATTTCCTCCCCCCACACCCCCCGTGGCGGGCGGGGCGAGCAGGAGGAGCGCGAGGACGAGGGGCAGGCGGAGGCAGCCGTGCCAGTGGCGAGGGAAGTGAGGCGCGCCGAGGTGAGCTGTTGCGCCCCCACGGGCGCACATCAAGGGTTAATGGACCCGCTGCGCCTCTGAACCCCTCCCGTTCGGCCCAGTGCGTTTCCACGGTTGCTGGGCACAGAGATGATGCGCGTGGACGTTGCTAAGGGAGGAGGGGGGAGGGGCCACGGTGGGGGCAGTCACACGGAAATGGGACGAGTGGGTAGGAGAGCAGGGCAGGTGGATGAGAGTCAGAGTGGTGCAGCGAAAGGTGGTGCATCAACAACCGTCTTCATTGAAGAGATGCGCGCATGTGTTGCTCCCCCCCTCTTCCCTTGCCCTGCAACCGTGCATGCAGGCGGTGAGCTTTCTGCCCTTCCCCACGGAAGCCATCACGCTGGAGCGCGGCCTCACTCTGCTCAAGGTACCACGTGATGCCTGTTAGTGCCAGTCAATGGCAGTCGATGGCCGTCAATGGCAGTCAATGGCAGTCAATGGCATTCGATGGCAGTCAATGGCAGTCAATGGCAGTCAATGGCAGTCAATGGCAGTCAATGGCAGTCAATGGCAGTCAATGGCAGTCAATGGCAGTCAATGGCAGTCAATGGCAGTCAATGGCAGTCAATGGCAGTCAATGGCAGTCAATGGCAGTCAATGGCAGTCAATGGCAGTCGATGACCGTCAATGGCAGTCAATGGCAGTCGATGGCCGTCAATGGCAGTCAATGGCAGTCAATGGCAGTCAATGGCAGTCAATGGCAGTCAATGGCAGTCAATGGCAGTCAATGGCAGTCAATGGCAGTCGATGGCCGTCAATGGCAGTCAATGGCAGTCAATGGCAGTCAATGGCAGTCAATGGCAGTCAATGGCAGTCAATGGCAGTCAATGGCAGTCAATGGCAGTCAATGGCAGTCAATGGCAGTCAATGGCAGTCAATGGCAGTCAATGGCAGTCAATGGCAGTCAATGGCAGTCAATGGCAGTCAATGGCAGTCAATGGCAGTCAATGGCAGTCAATGGCAGTCAATGGCAGTCAATGGCAGTCAATGGCAGTCAATGGCAGTCAATGACTTACCTCCTCCCCCACCATGCCTCCTCGCCGTCAGGGCAAGGCGTCCACAACCATGCTGGTGGGGACAACGTCGGACCTGGTGCCGGGCAAGTATGAAGGTGAGGTGAGGTGAGGTGAGGTGAGGTGAGGTGATGCATGAGGGTGAGGTGATGCATGAGGGTGAGGTGATGCATGAGGGTGAGGTCAGGTGATGCATGAGGGGTGAGGTGACGCATGAGGGTGATATGAAGCATGTCGGTGAAATGCATTCATAGTGACATGATGCATGTGAGGAGAGAGAAATTCTGACTGAAAGAACAGTTTGTGGCAGGCAGCATGCATGTTGCACAGGTGCTTGCATATGTGCTCTCGTGCGCCTGTGCGCCATGTGGGAGAAATTGAGTGGGATGCGTGAAATGGAGGGCGGTGTGGGTAGGGAGAAGGATGATATACCACACCCCAATGCGTGCCACCACACCCCAATGCGTGCCACCACACCCCAATGCGTGCCACCACACCCCGCACCCCATTGTGCGACATGCCATGCACGGTACCACATGCCTTGCACGGCACCACATGCCTTGCACGGCACCACATGCCTTGCACGGCACCACATGCCATGCACGGTACCACATGCCTTGCACGGCACCACATGCCTTGCACGGCACCACATGCCATGCACGGTACCACATGCCTTGCACGGCACCACATGCCTTGCACGGCACCACATGCCTTGCACGGCACCACATGCCTTGCACGGCACCACATGCCTTGCACGGCACCACATGCCTTGCACGGCACCACATGCCTTGCACGGCACCACATGCCTTGCACGGCACCACATGCCTTGCACGGCACCACATGCCATGCACGGCACCACATGCCTTGCACGGCACCACATGCCTTGCACGGCACCACATGCCTTGCACGGCACCACATGCCTTGCACGGCACCACATGCCTTGCACGGCACCACATGCCTTGCACGGCACCACATGCCTTGCACGGCACCACATGCCTTGCACGGCACCACATGCCATGCACGGTACCACATGCCTTGCACGGCACCACATGCCTTGCACGGCACCACATGCCTTGCACGGCACCACATGCCTTGCACGGCACCACATGCCTTGCACGGCACCACATGCCTTGCACGGCACCACATGCCTTGCACGGCACCACATGCCTTGCACGGCACCACATGCCTTGCACGGCACCACATGCCTTGCACGGCACCACATGCCTTGCACGGCACCACATGCCATGCACGGTACCACTGGCACCACATGCCTTGCACGGCACCACATGCCTTGCACGGCACCACATGCCTTGCACGGCACCACATGCCTTGCACGGCACCACATGCCTTGCACGGCACCACATGCCTTGCACGGCACCACATGCCTTGCACGGCACCACATGCCTTGCACGGCACCACATGCCATGCACGGTACCACTGGCACCACATGCCTTGCACGGCACCACATGCCTTGCACGGCACCACATGCCTTGCACGGCACCACATGCCTTGCACGGCACCACATGCCTTGCACGGCACCACATGCCTTGCACGGCACCACATGCCTTGCACGGCACCACATGCCTTGCACGGCACCACATGCCTCCCACGCCCGGCATGGCGGCAGGCGGGTTCAAGCTGTGGGAGGCGGCGGTGGATCTGATAGAGGCAGTGCGGGCTGACATGCAGGACGGCACGCTCTCCTTCCGCCGCAAGCACGTGCTCGAGGTGAGGTGAGGTGAGGTGAGGTGAGGTGAGGTGAGGTGAGGTGAGGTGAGGTGAGGTGAGGTGAGGTGAGGTGAGGTGAGGTGAGGTGAGGTGAGGTGAGGTGAGGTGAGGTGAGGTGAGGTGAGGTGAGGTGAGGTGAGGTGAGGTGAGGTGAGGTGAGGTGAGGCGAGGTGAGGAGGTAAGGTGAGGTGAGGTGAGGTGAGGTGAGGTGAGGTGAGGTGAGGTGAGGTGAGGTGAGGTGAGGTGAGGTGAGGTGAGGTGAGGTGAGGTGAGGTGAGGTGAGGTGAGGTGAGGTGAGGTGAGGTGAGGTGAGGTGAGGTGAGGTGAGGTGAGGTGAGGTGAGGTGAGGTGAGGTGAGGTGAGGTGAGGTGAGGTGAGGTGAGGTGAGGTGAGGTGAGGTGAGGTGAGGTGAGGTGAGGTGAGGTGAGGTGAGGTGAGGTGAGGTGAGGGTAAGGTGAGGTGAGGTGAGGTGAGGTGAGGTGAGGTGAGGTGAGGTGAGGTGAGGTGAGGTGAGGTGAGGTGAGGTGAGGTGAGGTGAGGTGAGGTGAGGTGAGGTGAGGTGAGGTGAGGTGAGGTGAGGTGAGGTGAGGTGAGGTGAGGTGAGGAGGTGAGGTGAGGTGCGCCCTGCCAGCACGTGCTCGAGGTGAGGTGAGGTGAGGTGAGGTGAGGTGAGGTGAGGTGAGGTGAGGTGCGCCCTGCCAGCACGTGCTCGAGGTGAGGTGCGCACTGCACTGCACCGCACTGCACTCACCCCTTTGGCCCGCTCAAAAGTTTGATGCTTGTCCGTTTCGGGCTTGTCTGCGTGGCATTTTCCCGCCTGTCCTCTCCCACCTTCACCCGCTCTCGCATCCCTCCCTCCCTCCCTCCCTCCCTCCCTCCCTCCCTCCCTTCCCCGTTCCCCGTTCCCCCCCGTCCCGCCTGCCCCGCATCCACGGCACGCGCATCAGCTGGGCTGTGGTCACGGGCTGCCAGGCATTCTCGCCTGCCTCAAGGTGACCCGCCCTCACATGCCACCTCGCCCTCACATGCCACCTCGCCCTCACATGTCACCTTGCCATCACTGTGCAAGCTGCCCCTTGTTACATCTCTACAACACACCACTGCTTGCCACAACACACCACTACATCGCTACTGCCACGTCCACCTACATGTCTCTCTCTATTCAAACTCGGTACCTCACACTCACTTATGAGTTATAAAAACCTGTTTTCCTCTGTCCCCTTCTGTTTCCTCTTGCGTAATTTCCTTATTCACTTTAGACGTCCCTCATTCATCACTTTGCAAATGTCCGTACTGCCTTGCTCTGCCTGCGCTGCCTTGCTCTGCCTGCGCTGCCTTGCTCTGCCTGCGCTGCCCGCTCCTCGTCCACGACTCCACCACCCACCTGCCCACACCCCTTCATTCATACTCTCCTATCTCTCCTCCTCTTCCCTTCTACCCTTCCCCTTCTCCCTTCTCCGCCTCTCCCCATCACCACCTGTGGCTGCTTGGTGCCTCTGTCCCACGGTCCATGGCACGGCGCTGGGGGCGGGGCGGGAGGGCAGGGGGCGGCGGTGGTGCATTTCCAGGACTTCAACGCGGAGGTGCTGCTCAACCTCACCATCCCCAACCTCCAAGCCAACCTCGCTGCCGCCGCCGCTCCCCCGCATGAGCGCAGGGAGCACGGGGCGGGCATTGGGGGTGGGGGTGGGGGTGGGGGTGGGGGTGGGGGTGGGGATGGGGGTGGGGGGGCTGCGCGCGAGAGGGAGGGGCCGTCGTCACCGTGTTCGGCGCCGGTGACGCCCAAGTCGCCCCTGCCTGACCTGCGCATGCGCTTCTTCGCCGGTGACTGGGCTGCCATGGATGGGCTCCTCTCCCTCGCCCATCCCCCCTCCTCCCCTCTCTCCCTCCCTCACACTGCTGCCGCTGCCACTGACACTGCTGCTGCTGATACTGCTGCCACTGATACTGCTGTCACTGATACTGCTGCCACTGATACTGCTGCCACTGATACTGCTGCTGCTGATACTGCTGCCACTAATACTGCTGTCACTGATACTGCTGCCACTGATACTGCTGCCACTGATACTGCTGCTGCTGATTCTGCTGTCACTGATACTGCTGCCACTAATACTGCTGCTGCTGATACTGCTCCTACTGATGCTGCTGCTGGTGGTACTGCTGCCACTGATACCACTGCTACTGATACTGCGGCCACCGATACCGCTGCCACGCAAGCCGCTGCTACGGATGTCACAGCTGACAGTGCCTCACAGGCCTCCCCAAGTGCGCTCGCCAGCACAGGCGGCAGCAAGGAGGTGAAGCAGCCGCGGCACGGCAGGGTGCACATACAGCCTCCCCCGCCAGCAACCCACGTGCCACTGGACGGTGCATCTGGCAGGCCCTCCTTCTGTGCATCGCCACGTGGCACCGCGGCATTGGGTCATGGTGGTGGGAGGGCGGGTGGGGGCGGGTACGACATCATCCTGACGGCGGAGACGGTCTACTCGCCGCGCTCCATGGCCAAGCTGCTCGCCCTCGTCTGTAAGGTGCGCTCCCGTTGCTGTTTGTCAGTAACATTTTTTCTCAACAACAGCTTTAGTTGGCAATGTGCCTCTCCTCCACTCTTGCCCCTCCCTTTGTCTCCCCACACTGAGAAAGGGACGAGGCGCGTTAGATCCCCTCTGCATTAGATCCCCTCTGCGTTAGATCCCCTCTGCATTAGATCCCCTCTGCGTTAGATCCCCTCTGCGTTAGATCCCCTCTGCGTTAGATCCCCTCTGCGTTAGATCCCCTCTGCGTTAGATTCCCGCTTTGTTAGATTCCCTTTTACGTCAGATTCCCCTCTGCGTTAGATTCCCCTCTGCGTTAGATTCCCCTCTGCGTTAGATTCCCCTCTGCGTCATCTCCCCATATTTTTCGCTCACCCCTGCGTCATGGCGTGGCAGTGTCTGCGGCGGCCGCACGGTGTGCTGTACGTGGCGGGCAAGAAGCACTACTTTGGGGTGGGCGGCGGCACACGCCAGTTCAAGGCCCTCGTGGACCAACAAGGTGAGAATGCGAAGAGGGCATATGCGAGCAAGAGTAGAGGTGCAGGGGGCGAGGTAGCCTAATGCGATTTGACTAAGGGCTTTCTGCTCGCCCTTCTCTTATTCTGGTCCTCATACGCTGGTGATGCTTGATGCTCCATGATCAATGTTTGATGCTTGATGCTATGCTTGGTGCTTGATACTGGGCATGAGATTTTATCGAACCGAACCGGTTCGGTTACTTTAGCGCATTAACTGAGCTTGTTCGTTAACAAACCTAACCTGCTCTTTTCGAAGCTGGTTCGAGGCTCGGTATTATAGTCGGAACCGAACCAAACCGAACCGAACCAAACCGAACCGACTTGTTGAGTGCTCAAACAGTATGTGGAAGATTAAAACCTGAAACCACCAAGTCTAAGCCTAGCCATGCATACTCCACTTAAGACACTCTGACCGGTTCAGCATGTCAATACGTTACAGCTTTCTCGCTCGCTCTACTGAACCTTCCGCGTCAACAGCAGCTAATCGCAGCTGCACAAAATATCGCAGCGCAAACAGCTGCTGACTCAGAGGAACTCAAAGTCAAACTTCATTTTTGAACAGCAACCTTGTCCTCCTATTGTTGAAAGTCAGACTTTTTACTGAACTTGCTCCTCTGAACACTCGCTTAGAAGAATCTTGCTTCACTGCTTCAGCTGCGAAATGCACACCCCCAGAGAATCGGCTGATTGATATACAGGAATGCGACATGACACGCAGGCAGCTGGTTGACATGCAGGATAAATATTTGCACCTAGCACGACCAGTCTCTCCCTTCTTCCTCGCCCCTCGCCACCCCTCCCCGCTTTTGCCCCAAGATTAAAACAACATACCGAACAGGTCGAACCGTCAAACCGTTTGGGGACAAACCCGTTCGGCCTGCTGCGAATTTAATGAACAAAACAAGGCTGAGATTCGGTTCACAACAAACCGAACCGTGTCGAGCGGAACTGCGGATCGGCCCTTTGCTCATACCTGATGATTGATGCTTATTGCATGATGCTTGATGCTTGATGCCCAATGCTTATTTTGCGGCGCTTAATGCATGATTTGCGATGCTTAAAGCTTAATGTGAGATGCTAAATACTTAACCCTCGGTGAAACCAAGAACCCCCACCCTCTCTCCACCTCGATTTCTCTTTGTCCAGCTCCCCCACCGCCCAATGTGCATCCTTAGTAAAGCTGAACAACTTGGACTGCGGGCTTTACTATGAGATGCGCAACGCTTGATGCAAAATGACTGGTGCCTCCCGTTCATCTCCCTCCGGTGTTCAACCCATGCATGTCTAGGTTCGTTGCACGGCCACTTGCTCAAGGAGGTTGTGGATGGCTCCTCCAATGTTCGGGAAGTGTGGAAGTTTTTCTACCAGGACTGACCTCTCTGCTGGATGGCATTCAGCTTCAATGGTTGTGCCCAGCTCAGCCTACTCTAGCAAGTAGCTTGTTATGCGCATGGGCAAGCAGTGCAATCAAATGTTGGTGCAACACATGGAACAGTCTCATGTCACACATAGATTTGATCAGATGAGAAGAGAATTTACTTTGTTTACAGTAGTTCGTTTACTGGTTATACTACAAGCAATCTATTGCATTCATTCAAGTTGGTTGTTTGATTCACCCGTGGTCCCTGGAATTGATTGTGTCTATCAGGGGAAAATCTCATTCGTAACGTTGAAATGTTGCCTGGGCCGTATGGGCTTTCATTCGTATTAATGAAAAACGGCTTAAAACTCGAGGTCAGCATGGTAAATTTTCAAGTTATGTGAGGTTGAATTAGTCTTGGCCTTAAAAACAAGGGTGCAAAAGGGTATAAATAGTTTTTGTGTGGCACCCTTAGAGAAAGAGTGAAAGCGGGGTGTTGGCCTTACGAGAAAGGGTAGTTCGAATCCTATCCAGAGGCCTGCCGACCACCTTTGCACAGCCTGCATTCTCTCTAAAATCGACCTTTGGAGAGGTTACCGTATTCTCCTCCTGGACATAACACCCTAGGGTATAGCTAAAAATACAAGGAAACAATTTAGGGGGTCTCCTTATAGGAAAGAGCTACATAATACCCGGGTGGATATATATGACATATTCTAGTGTAATAGTTTTTTGGGTTGCGAAGCAACCTATTACGATCGTTATGTACAATTTTTTTTTTCAACCTCGAAAAAAAAAATAAATAAATGTAGTGAACGGTAGTTATGGTAAGTGATTGACTGCTACGGTATGTATTTGCCTCGGCAATTCGCCACATTCGTTCTCATTTCCTAGTTTGCCTCGACTGAACCTACCCGTATATTGTATGGATCAAACATGAACATGTGTTGCCGAAATGATGTTACTGTGAACGCATGACTGTCTATTCCGTACCATGTTATGCATAGATGAAGTATAATTTTGGATATGGTGAACCAAATATTGAATGAACAATGCATAAATATAATGCATATGCTACTGTGGTAAATATACCATAGTATATTTTCCAGCTTTAAGTCGTAGTTAAATGAATGCTTAGCATGATGGAAATGCGTAACAGTTAATTGACACAGGCTCTATGCTACCGCATCCCCTGCCTAGCATGGGGGGGAGTGTCAGAATCTAGAGACAAGAATGAATGCATTGATCAAGAGTTGGGTACATAAGCTAACCCTAACATTGGGTTGTACCCCATATGGGCTACCCCACTAGCAGCCTACACAAACACAATATGCATTGTTTGACACACCCCCATAGGCAAAGTGGGGGAGAACAAGGGGTCACAAGACCAGTCAAGAGAAACAAACCAAGCTCAGGGTGGATCACAACGTCACCACACAGACTGAGCACAAGCAAAGGGCCACAAGGCCAGTCCACATGCAGAGGTATATATGCAACAAACAAAGTACAGTGATCACTACCTAGCAAGAGCAAGCATGCAGGTATATATATATAAAGATCACAGTACAGACAGAGTCTACAGCAAGTGTGGAAACGTAGGCACAAGGCCCAACAAGGTACAAAAGCGCTGATGATCACCAGACGGAAGTGCCTTGGTGAATATATCAGCAGTGTTGGCCCGAGTGGCCACGTGTGCAAGACGAAGCTGACCACGCTGCTGCAACTCTCGAGCCAGGAAGTAACGCAGAGCGATGTGCTTCGTTCTGTGCTCCAGTCTGTGCTCCTCACACAAGGCAATGGCTGCCTTGTTGTCAACGTACAGAACTGGAGGAGAACGAGGCCGCTCTCCCAGGTCGGTCAGCAGGTACGTGAGCCAGCGCAGCTCCTGAGCAGCCATGGCGGTGGCGTAGATCTCAGCCTCACAACTGGAGCTGAGAACAGAAGACGAGCGAGTAGAACGCCACGAAACAGAACCAGAGCCGAGGCTGAAAGTGTAACCCTGTGACGACCGCTGTGTAGCCTGGTCGTCAACCCAAGACGCGTCTGAGTGCCCAGTGAGGACCACCTCTCGCCGTCCTCCAAGCACGAGCCCCATGCCCGATGTACTGCACAAGTAGCGCAGTACCCTCTTCGCAGCATCCCAGTGCACCTTTCGGTGCCGACCAGGAGCCACGTAGCGGGCCAAAAGGCCAAGAGGGTACGCAAGGTCAGGACGAGTGCAAGTCATCAAGTACATGAGGCAGCCTACTAGCTCTGGGTAAGGACCACTCGGCTCTACGGACTCGTCCGAAGGTGGAGCTGAGAGCGAGTGACCTGTAGCCAGAGGAGTGGACTGTGCCGAGGACCAGGTGAAGCCGAAGCGCTGAAGGACCTGCTGCACCATGTGTGACTGAGTCAGAGTGATGGTGCGACGTGCTCTGTCCCGGGTGATCTGCAAGCCAAGGTAGCTGCGCAGCTTACCCAGGTCTGTGCACGTGTGTCTCTTCTGCAGCTCCGACTTCACCAGGGCGAGAGCCTCAGTGTCAGCAGTGGCAAAGACCAAGTCGTCGACGTACACGAGGATGTAGAACGGCGGCAGCGAGGTGTCGGTGCGCAGAAACAGTGACGGGTCAGCTGTGGAGGGCGCAAACCCGAGAGCCGCAAGCGTAGTCCTCAGTGTGTCGTGCCACTCACGAGGCGCCTAACGGAGACCGTAGACTGGCCGGCGGAGGCTCCACTGGGTACCAGGAGGGAACGACCCAGTGAAGCCAGGTGGGCGGCGCAGCCAGATCTCCTCGTGCAGGCTGCCCTGCAAGAAAGCAGTGCTGAAGTCAAGCGAGTGAAGCTCGTAGTCACGCTGGGCGGCAACGTGCAGCAGTACCCGAAGAGTGGTCATCTTCGGGGTGGGGGAGAAGGTCTGGAAGAAGTCAACCCCCTCTCGCTGACTGAAGCCTCGAGCAACGTAACGTGCCTTGAAGACAGGCGGAGAACCAGGCGGTCGCTTCACCCTGAAAATCCACATGCCACTGACGATGTTCGCCCCAGGAGGGGGAACGTCGTCGACGTAGGTGCCTGTGGACTTCCAGGATGCCATCTCTGCGTCCATGGCTGCCTGCCACTGAGAGGAGTAGGGACCCGCGACCGCCTCAGCGTACGAGCGCGGGGTGGGGATGTCTAGTGCATCCGGGTCTCCCTCAGGGGCAAGCAGCATGGTCACGAGATGAGGCGCAGCGGCTGCAAGACACTCAAGGTCCTCGTGCCTGTCCTCAAGGACGTCCGTGCTAAGAGCACACTCACCCCCGACGGACGGAGGACAGACAGACTCAGACTCAGCGACAAGACTAGCAGCGTAGTCTAGACGACAGGCAGCCGCAAAGTCAACAAGCTCAGCAACCAAAGCAGTCGCAGCAGCAGACTCGAACGAGGGGTCAGTGACAACAGTGGCGAGCAGACGCGTGACAGTAGGGTGCTCAGCACGAAACCGGTCAGACTCAGGGTCCGGAACGTGAGGCAAGGAAGACGCAGGAGGAGACGGCAGAGAAACAGACTGCGGAACAGAGGAAGGACGACGGACGACAAGGTGTGCGGTGGGGACAGGCGGCGAACGCGGACGCGGAACACGACGACCGGTACGACTAGGACGAACAGGCGAGACAGGACGCGACGCAGGCTCACGACGCTCAGCAAGACTACCTGTCTGCTCAGTGTAAGGAGAAGGAGCAGGCAGCGGGGAGCCAGGCTGTAACGGAAGACCAGTAGACGACGGGAGAGTAAGAACCTGACGAAGAACAGAGTCAGGCGGCGGCAGAGACGACAGAGACGGCGGAGCGAAGAACAGTCGTGGCGGCGCAGCTGCACCAGGACCGGCAGCTCCAGCAGCTCCAGCAGCAGAACCGACACCGCCAGGCCCAGGGTCTCCAACCCCAGTGCCTCCAGCAGCAGCACCCCCAGAACCAGTACCTCCAGTCCCAGGGTCTCCAGCCTCCACGTCTCCAGCAGCAGCACCCCCAGAACCAGCACCTCCAGTCCCAGGGTCTCCAGCCTCCACGTCTCCAGCAGCAGCACCCCCAGAACCAGCACCTCCAGTCCCAGGGTCTCCAGCCTCGGTGTCTCCAGCAGCAGCACCTCCAGACGCAGCACCCTCAGCCCCAGCAGCTCCAGTACCTCCAGGACGAGCACCTCCGGGACCAGCGACTCCAGCACCTCCAGTAGAAACAGTACCAGCACCACTCCTAGCTCCAGGGACGGCAGCAGAAGTACCTCCAGCAGTAGAGCCCCGGGCTCCAGCAGCGCGACCCTGACGGCGACCGTACCAGTCGTGCAGCTGCTGCAAGGTGAGAGGCACACGTGGACGAAGGCGGCTACTCCAAGGAGACCGCGCAACAGCAGACTCTGAACCCTCAGCGCCAGCACCCTCAGCAGCTCCAGCGCCACCAGCACCAGAACCTCCAGCAGCTCCAGAACCTCCAGCGCTCGCACCCTCAGCAGCCCCAGAACCACCAGCTCCAGCACCTCCAGACCCCTCACACGCAGGCTCAGCACCTCCAGGCTCTACACCCTCAAGCTCCGCACCCCCAGGCTCCGCACCCCCAGGCCCAGCACCCCCAGACTCAGCACCCCCAGAAGTAGCACCCCGAGCAGGACCACCCCCAGCAGGACCTGAGTCACCAGTGACCTCAACCGGCGCAGGGAAGGGAGGAGGGTCTACCTGAGACACACCTGAGGGAGCAGGACCTGGAGCGGGGAGAGGGTCGACCTGGGGAGCACCTGGAGCGAGGAAGAGCGGCGGGGGAGGGAGAGGGGCAGTGCGGTAGGGGAAGAGACGGTAAAAGGGAACCGACTCGTCGAACGTGACGTCCTGAGACGCAAAGACACGACGCGAGGTGGGGTGGTAAAACTGCCAACCAGGCGCGTCAGGGACAAAGCCAAGGAAGACACAGGGAATAGCGCGGGCGGAGAGCTTGTCCGCAGTGGTATCGCGGACAAAGGCACGAGCACCCCAGACCCGGAAACGCGACGCATCGCCAACCTTCCC